TTATAATGAGAATGAAAATAATGAATTTGTTTGTGGTGGTGTTCTCCATTGTATAATTATAAACATGATTTACTTTCCCTTCAGTCATAGCTCTCAGACAACCCAGTGGCAGCATCCCAGAACCAACAAGAGGAAGAAAGTTACTGGAGGTAAGCATGAGTGTTAGGATTTCAAGGAGCACTGAGGTTTTATAGGTCTCTCTTGAAGAGAGAGAGAATGCTTTTTAATTTCCTTCATGCAAAGGATATGATCTGTTGTAACAAATTTTGAGAAATTAGAGAGTAAATTTATTGTTCATTGTTTCAGTTCCCCATTTGTTGCATTTTCACATGGGGCTTTTGGGCCATATACCATGACATGGTATGAGCTATAGTCCTAGCACTGCCCCTTCACTCTATCACTCATTGGTGACCTTTAAACCTTTTCATCAGAATTACCCTATGGATGGGAAAGACAGATAACAGAAGATGGGAAGGTGTTCTTCGTTGACCACATCAACCACAAGACTACCTACACAGATCCCAGACTAGCCTTTGCAGTCGAGGAGAGCAATACAATCAATGACCTGCGGCAGAGGTTTGACAGCAGTTCAACAGGTCTCCAGGTGCTTCATGGGAGGGACCTCACAGGGCGCGTTGCTGTCATTACAGGTGCTAATAGTGGAATAGGTGAGTCCGTCTTCCTGTCACTTTCAAACGATCCCAGCTGTTTTGATTTGTTACGGTGTTTTTATACAATAGTGACATTCTGAGATCTGCTTTTGATTTTGAAAAATAAAAACAATTAAGCAAATAATAAGATAGATAAGAACTTTCTTTTTTTATTTTAAACTTATTGTTCTTGTTTCGTTCTTGTTTTTGTCTTATAGGCTATGAAACAGCTCGAACTTTGGCATATCATGGCTGCACGGTTGTCTTTGCTTGCCGGAGTATAAGCAAAGCTGAAAATGCAATATCGAAAATTCAGGCTCAGAGGCCAAATGCATCATGCCATGCTTTACACATCGATTTGGAATCTCTTGAAAGTGTGCGGACTTTTGCACAAACTTTTGCCATTAAGTTTGAGTAAGTATGATAGTTTTACCTTTGCGTCATCTTATCTAGAAGCATTTTAGTAAGAAAGTTAGCTTATAATGTCTTGTATATGATAGTTTAGTAGAGATCATTTGACTTATTTCTGCTGTACTTTTGAATGTGAGTATTACTTTTTTGTATTTGTATGATATTATTTAATTTGGAAGAAGTGACTTTTTTTTCCCTAAAAATTTAAGAAAATTACATAGCCAGTCTTGTAAGGTCATTCTGAAAATGGTAATGATATCTTGCTATTTGCTTATTATGAACTTAAGTAAAAGTTTGACCTGCTGCATGTGTTTAGATAATCCTTCAATTAGATTAATGAAAAACCTGTGATTTTGGAAATAACTTTGTCCAAATTTGAATATGGGAATGTCATCATAACATTTTATAATGTAATAATATTTTAGTGCATAAATATATTTATTAACAAAAAAGGAGCAAAAGTTAGGATTCATTTGTTTATTTCACAACAGTTATGTTGAGCTTAATAATAGCTTCAGTTATTTGTATTTCATTCATTTTGACCTTCATTTTAAAATCCTTTTTTTTTTTCTCTCTCTCTCTTTTTTTTTATAGCCGATGTGATATACTGATTCTAAATGCAGGAGTTTTTGGCCTACCTCACACCTTGACTCTGGATGGGCTTGAGACCACCTTCCAGGTCAACCACTTGTCACAGTTTTACCTCGCTGTGCTACTGCAGCCAATACTCTCTCGCTCAGCACCTGCTCGGGTTGTGTTTGTCTCGGCTGAAGCACACAGGTAGTTGGGAGTAATTCCTCTGGTTTTCCTTGTGTGTGGTTAATGAATTAGATTTTGCTGTTTAATCTGGAAGATAAAGGGTAGCGAATTGGGTCTGGATAGGTAAAGAAAATCTCTGATTTTGTTTTCCTGGTGTTGAGATATATCAGTGCAGAGGTAATGGTAGTTAACTAGTAGATGAGTACATCCATTTTTTTGATTACATAAAAATGAATAAAAGTCTTGGAACAAAGTAAGTACAGTATTCTTGTAACTTTCATATATTTGACCTGATCTGTCTTCAGAATAAAATAGGCAGTGACAATAGTCTAATCAAAATCAATATCCTGTTTTATTTTTTTAGACATAGTCAAAGGCTGGCATTTATCTATTTTTATGGGCACTGTATTATTTTCAGATTCTATGATTTTCAGTATGTTTTAAAGGTTTCTTCCAGTTTTGCCAGTCTCTATTTTTAAAATGCTAAAGAAATTTAGTACTCATACTGTACATTCATGTTTTAATTGCACTCTAACAGGTTACAGGAATCCCATAATTACATCTCTTGTACATTACTGATTACACTAATAGTAGTACATGCTATTAGAAAGAATGTTGTTGGATTTTCTGTTTCTGTTGAAATATGAAGTATCAACAAGATTATATGATTTATGATAATGAATAAAATGGATGGATTGGCTTTTCTAAGATATGCAATGGTATTCATACAATCCACGACTATCTTCAATGCATAGTTCATCCAGGTTATAATAGACACTTCGGTTTTATCAGGGGCAATGTTTTTCCACAGAGGAATACTGTGCATAGTATGACCTATCCCACTCTGTAGCTGAACAGAGTGGATCCCTAGACAGAGGAGACTGGTGTGACCATTGCTTATGAAATTAATAAATATTTCAGATTTGCAACTCTAGATGAAGCTTGCCCAGAAGAAGAGTTATCACCCTCCCACAAAGCAACATATGATTCTATAATTGCTTATTGCAACTCTAAACTATGCAATGTTTTGACAGCCCTGGAGATGCAACGGAGATTTGGTCAGTAATTTCAAAATGTATTTGATATTGATTAGGATTACTAAGTTAACATACCATATGAATAAATGACCTCTTTGTCATACACATAGTTTAATGTATATATACTAATATCTTTTTGTTCTAAGACCAGAATGGATTATGTGATTCCAATTACATCTAATAGATTTACTTTTAATCCCAGGCAATCAGGGTATAAACTGTTATGCAGTGCACCCAGGCAATGCTGTGTCAACCTATATCACACGACATTGGTGGGTTTACCGTCTGATTTATGCAGTGGTTCGACCTTTTACAAAATCCTTGGTAAGTCAGCACATATCAGAGTGAGAGAGTGAGTGAGTGAGAGAGTGAAGTATATTTTATTAAAAAAGCATAAAAAAAATGTGGTACCTACTTCAATTGTGATAGGAATGAAGCCCAATAATAATGATAATTAGTTATGTCTCATTAAACACATTTCTACAACTTCGAAAAACAGTAGGAGGTAGATCTATGTAATATTTGCTAGTCATGTCCACAAGAAACTTCTTTTTCTTCTTCTTCATCTTCTTCTTCCTCTTCCTCTTCCTCTTTGTCCTCTTCCTCTTCTTCCTCTTCCTCTTTCTGTGTGTGTGTGTGTGTGTAAATAAAATGCACTAGTTTTCAGATAAATAGGGCAAGGTATGTATATGGTTATAAATCATGAAAGTAGATTGAGAGATTTACCTTGAGAATAGCATTCTTTATTAAATTATTATAGTATCTCACAAGTTGCTTTCTGGCTTCCCTTTATTTTAGTTTTTTTTATGTATGCACATGAAAAGAAATGGCAAAGCCTTTGTTGGTATACTCATGGGACAGTTTTGAAAGTAATAATTTTACAGATCTCCACATATTTGCAGTTTCTCACCCCACACTACACATTATTATCTGTACACATAGTTAATACAGACTTATTCTCACCCTAATTAATGTCATTAATTCTGTTATCATTCTTTGTATCCCATGTAGTAACTTCTACTTCTTTCTTTTACAGCAACAGGCTTGTGCTACAAGCATATACTGTGCAGCAAGTACAGACATTTCCAAGTATGGAGGAGTTTATGTGAATAATTGCGTGCCATGTCTCCCTTCACACACATCACTCAATTCTGTGGTTTCAAATCGTTTATGGAACATGTCTCTGAATATGATACAAAATGTGCTTGGAAAAAGAGCATTCAGTGTACAGACTTTATAGGAATATCAAGGAAAATAAAGGTTTTGGTGTGGGCATTGAGTTTATGATGAGATTAGTAATGTTTGCAGAAGAAATGGGTGAATTGTTTTATTTGCAGATGGTATGAAGATATAATGCTTCATTATAGTTTGGAATTAACTAAGTTGAGGAGGTAGTTCGTTATACATTACATCCAAACCAGTTTTAAGTTTGTTTAAGTATAGTATTTATGAAGTGTTGACTTCATATTATTTATTTAATCTGTTATAGATAAATATTTCAGGGCATTCCATTCAGAAGTCTGCATTTTAATGTTGAAATATATGGTTAACTCAGTGCTGCCAGGGAAAATGAATATAAATTGGGGAAAATGCTGTGCTCATTTTTTATATTTTTGTGAAATGTCTCTGCACATAGATGGCTCTGCTAGTGCTCAGCCACAAAGGAGTCAATTAGTAGATCTTGTGACCTTACCTGATTTCACCTTTCCTTGAATTGGCAGGGAAAATGTATTTTTTACTAATGCTGTGAATATTGATGCTGTTATTTTTATTATAAACATTATAATTACTATAATGTTATAAACATTAGTAACAGCAAAATAAGAGAACATAAAATATTTTGTATATCAAGGAAAAGGGTAAGCAGGGGAGACAGGCAGTACATGTAATTGGCTCATTGGTGACTTAGTACAAGTGTAGCCATCTATGTGTAAAGCAATTAAACAAGTAAACTCACAGTGGGCATGGCATGTACGTACATGCCATGCTCGTTGGCATTGGGTTAATGCTCTATTTTATGCACGAGGTACATTTCCAAACTCTTTGTGATTATATGAAATTTGTGTTGCCTTCTAAAGTACATGGAATAGATTGTTACATTGTGAATAAACATTATGAAGTATTCATTAAACTGTAGTTTTGTCTTGTGAAATTTGTTTACTCTCAGAAGGTTTCACAACCACTTATTTACCAAGGAGTCTATTAGCAGGCCTACCCGACCGTGCCTGATTACTCTGTTCTTTTGACCTTTTTTTTTCTGATATCGTTATTATTGTTACTGTTGTAATTATGAACCTGGCCATTATAATTATGATAATATTATCAGCATTACTAAAAGTAATTAGGAAATAGAAAAGTTTTTATCAAAAAATCAAGGAAAAGGATAAAAAAGGTGAAATCAGGTAGGCCTAGTAATTGACTTCTTTGTGACTAAGCACTTCTAGGCCCATTTGTGCAAAAAGGTGAAATTTACAGTGGACTGGGCATGTATAGTCACATTGCCTCACTCCTCCTGACTTTGAAGGCTTTGATTAGGCAAAGCTTATTGTAATTCCGTACATACCTGTGACTGTAAAAAATGTTTCAATGCATTTAGCACAAGTTGCATTACTTACCTCTGCTCACTCATAGCTTCAGATGTTCAAACAAGCAAAGCATTTCATGATGTGGTTAGGACTGTAACATTGTGATTTCTTTTTCTTCTTCTTCTTCTTTTTCTTTTGTTTTCTCTGTTGATTTTACAGTTGTTTCTTTTGAGCTCTGTTTTTTTTTAGTTAAACTCTTGGCGAGGGTACTCAAGCCCTCCTGGAAACTAGTAATTTGCATATCATATATATGTGTAGGGAAGTGAATAACTTCACCATTGCTCAAAAAGACTTCTAACCTTTGCCATCAAACTGTTGTCTTCCAATTTTGCAATTCCTTTTAAATTTTTATAGGAATATTGTTTCAAAATTAGGCAATATTTTCCTTAAAAGGAAAGATATTGCCTATATATTTCACTTTTTTTCATGAAAAATCAGAAGATGAATTTGAATGACCTTTCCATTTTAAAATTGGATCAACAGTTTTGGGATTTCTTTATTCTACCTTCTTGGTAAAGAACAATTTGAAGTTTGGTTATTTGCCAGTTATTTTTACTATTAAGTTTCATTTTGCAATAATGCTATATATAAAAAGAAAGCTCAAAATGTGTACTGTAGAATCTGGTCTTATGAAGGAAACTTACTTGAGGCTTATCTATGTTAGGGGAGTTTCCCATGCTTTCAGGAATATGAAACTGCCCTTAACTCACGTAACACCAATCCCATGCCCATTGTTATTGTGGTGAGGCCTAGGAGACAAGGACTGAGGCAATCCCATGCCCCTACCTTGGGCCTCAACTAATTTTGCAAGGTTGTTTCTTCCCCCTCTTTCCTTTTCCTTTTCTTCAATCCCTTCTCTGTACTTCCAAAGTTGTAAGAGCCATGCTGAAAATATAAAAGGCTGGCTTTGTGTCATTGCTGAACAGTTTTCAGGAGCCATGGCCATGGTATTCCCTTTGTTATTAGCTTAGCCTTAACCCCTCATGGAGACCCAGGGGTAGATCAAGAATGATTTCATACCCATATTAGGGGCATTAAGGCTTGCCCCTTCATCAACTAGCCTATCAAAATTTGACTTCTCTGGTTTCCTGACCTCTGCCTATCCTTTGATCATGGTTGTGATCACTGATACAAATACCCCCTCCTCGATTCTTGCTGTAACTCTATTCATTTTGAATCATTCACCCAGATTATTACTCGACCTTCAAGGTACACCCCTTCCTCTCTCTCAAAATCCCCCACTCCATCTCTTCCTCCTGAACAGTCATCTTTATTATCTGCTCCCTCCTCCCTCCTCCCTTATAATTATTCCCACAGTACTACCTCCCTCCACACCACTCCCTCTTCTTTATATTGCTTCCACCTCTACAAACTTTCTGAGTACTCTTTTTAGCCCAGTCAAGCGAGATTGGTTCTTTTTGATTCCTCCTACAACCACCATCTACTGTCTACCCTGACTGACCTCACTAGCAAACCTATTTCCTATAACCCCCAGCTCATAGTGCTTTGGTGCAGTGCCGTGGCATACAGCCACATTCCACAGATCAAGCAGTTTGTTAAAGACACCTCATTGAGTGACCTGTCAGTATGGGGTTTATACTTGTACTGGAACTATTTCCATCTCCCTGGGTGATTGCCATGTCTACGACATTGAATTGTCAGACTTTGAAAACAACTTGCTCAAATGCCTTGCCGACTATGTTGCAGTGGCAGTACAGTGCTACACTATTCCAAAAACCACTAAGTCCTACACCAATATTGCCAAGATTGGCTTCTGTAGACATGACCTCCCCTATGAAGTTTATATTGTTGGATTGTCCTGCCCTGTTCAGCCATATTGACCCTTTCCCTGCCATGTCTGAAATGTCGGCATTTTGACCACTCAGCCAAATAAACACTTTCCATATCCCGTTCCCCTCTGTGGGGACCGGGATATGGCAAGAGTGCCTATTATGGTGGCTCCCATAGTGTATTTTATAGAAACTGCCCTGCCTGATCTGAGGTAGAAGTTCTTTGATTCAAACTAGGCCTCACTCTACATGAAACCAGACAGGAAGCACAGCAACAATGCTATTCCAATGCTATCCTTCACCACTCCTCTCCCATCCTTTCAAAATGTCTCAGCATCTCGCCAGTATGTCTCCTCCAGAAACTTTTGAAGACATCCAAAACTTCTTAACCCATTACCGACGCGTCATGCACTGAGGCGTCATAACAAACTGCTCAATATGTGGAGTACATGGCAACGCACCAGAGTTTGTTTGTTTTTTTTCTTCACCCATCAGTAAGGGGTTAACCATGACCCAAGAGTACTCTCTTCTCTCTCATCCACCCTCAGCATCCTTCTCCATATCCTTACCCTCCTGATGTTCTTCCAGATGCTTCACCATCTTCCCATTCCCTTATCTCATTCCCTGGATTCTTCTACTTCTCCAATGCCCATTTCTACTCTTTTTACCCACTGATTGCTTCATAATGGCTTTTTTTTTTGAGACACAGATACTTTCCTTTTGATCTAATCGCCCCTTGCCCTTGAATCCTTCCGCCCTTTCTTAATCCCCGTCTTTTCTTAATCCCCACCTTACTCCCCCCCCACTTCATTACCCTCTTCACTGCTGTACCATTCTATAGCACACATTTTATCCTAATCATTAACTTATTTTTACCCTTTTCACCACAATACTTTACCAGTTCTCTTTGATCTCTGATGTCTAGCATTATTTTTCTTTTAACCATTAACCTCAACTTATTTTTGCCCATGGCTGCCCAGATGGTTCCTTTAAGCTTCATGCACGTGATAGAGCAGTGCTTACTAAAGCTACTAAGTTCATCATTGTGCTCTGTGGGCACACTTACACCGTTATTCACAGAGCACTCATCCAAAGCCAGAATGAGAGCAGGTGTCAGTACAATTACCACTTCAAGAGTATATTGTAGTACACTCATATGGATATGGATTATAATTTATTAATTTTTATATGCCTGAAGTTCCAGATGGTTCCCTTAAGCCCCATATGCACATGAATGAGTAGTGCTTACCAAGCTTTGTTCATCATTTCTGTCCACAGAGCAGTCATTCAGGGTTAGAAAGGAATGAGAGCAGGTTTCCAACTCAGCTAAGCTCAGTACAGTAATCACTTCAAGAATATACCGTATTATACTCCTGTGGTCATGATTTGTATTAATATTTGTTATATGACTGAAGTGAAAAATGAAGTGCCAAAAACACAAGGTCATGTCACAATGTTACATGAATATTAAGATGGGAGTAGATATATAACATATAAGGATTACACTAATGAAAATTTGATCGACTGACACCAATGCCCCTTGGGTCCATATGTGTACCTGACAGTGACTTTACATTACTGGTAACTGCCTGATGTCAAAAGGGTTTTGGGCAGCATAAGACTGTATTTACACACATTTCAAATTTTGAAGTTAAGCATTTGATAATGGTTATTACATTGGCAAAAGCTCAAGTCCTTTAGTTTATAAACACGTGAGCTATGAAAACATTCCCCACTTGACTTGACCATCAGCAATAAAGTACCCAGCAAATTTTCTAAAACTATATACAACAGTATAACTTAAATGGATGTTACTTGGGTATCAGCGAAAATATATATGAAAGTTGATAGTATTACCAGGTGAGATGAATCATTTGGCATTTCATTTATAGTTATAATTGCATTACAAGGCATCACAATTGAATTTGCCTTGTCTAGTTATTAATTCTAGTCATAATGGACTATCAGAATCCGGTAATTAATCTTGCCATTTGGAAATACTCCTTTATCTTTCAATATTATACCCATAAACTTAAATTGTTCTGAATCTGGTAATGTTAAAGAGCAATAAGGAATGATAAAAAAGTTGTAGTGATGTGATGTCAGAAGTGAGATCTAGCAGTATTACTTGTATAACCAGTTATGCAACAGGCACAACCCTTAAGGTTTACCCATTGCTTTTCCACTTCTTGACATCATCCTCACCTGTGTCCATGGTGTGGTATCAGTGTTGGCTGCACATGAATTGCCCATCATGTGGAATATGGCCTTAGACTCCACCCATATGACCAGATGGGTAATCCACAAGCAAACCTTGGGCAAACAACTGAAATGCCCATGACTATGCCTGACACTTTACCCAATACTTGGCATAAAAGTTATATTTACTGCCTGATCATGTGGATATAGTCCTGGATGGAGTATGGTATTCAGACGAGGAGCAGCAATTTGATTACTGAGGTTACATACTGTTTGTATAATATAGAAGATAATCACATTCAAGGCCATTTCCTTTCCTTTTTCTTTTTGTACTTAAAAAAAGGTAAAAAATTGGAGGTGCAATCCAGTACAGGCCTTTCATAAACAATATGTAATAGGCTTACATGTAAGTCTACTCTTTATATAAAAAAGTATATAAATATATTATTACAAACGTCTGTTTTATATGTGATTTAAACATTACACAAATAAATGTAAACAGATGGATCTCTTTCTCAGCCTCCAAGATATTATAATAGTGATAAAAAACACTGTTGATGCAAGGTCTG